TGGCCCGCGGTGTCTCGCCGGTGTCCCGTGGTGTCTTGTGGTGGCCCGTGGTGTCCCGTTGAGTGAAATCGATAGTGACATCGATAATGAGATCGATACTGAGATCGATTTGGTGCACCGTGGTGTCCCGTGGTGTCCCGTGGTGTCCCGTTCGATAGTGAGATCGATAGTGAGATCAACAGGTGTCCCGTGGTGTCCCGTGGTGTCCCGTGGTCTCGTTGAGTGAGATCGATAGAGAGATCGATTGAGTCAGAGATTGGGGTGGCACCTATGCGCACGCCGATCTTCCTCAGAAGAAAAAGAAAAAACAAACGATACTCGGATGGAGGAAAGGATACTTCGCTGCTTAGATACTCGAGCGACGAACTTCGACACTTCCTAGAACAACAAAAAACGAGATTCGAACGACGAACTTCGATACCCAGAAAAAGAAATAAGAACAGCATAAACAGAAATTTTCGGCGCACCGCGCGATCCGCGCTGGACCGACCTCACTGGCGAGCGGAGCGCGCCGGCGGCCCAGGCGCGGATCCGGGAAATCCGCGCGGAGCGCGAAAAGTTGACGTTGATGCCATTGTTTCCTTATTCGAATACTGTCCATCGCTCTCCTGGCGGGCCCACGCCAGCTGGCGCACTTGGGGAGCGCAAAAAAAAGTACCGATACCGCTACCCCCGGGACCTCTCCCAGGGTGCGTTCCGACAAGGATTTCGAGGCGAATGCAGCGGTGGCGACGAGGGCCTCCCAGGAGGCCCCAAAAGGGGAAAACGAGGGAAAGGTAGTGGGACCTGGAACTGAAGAACGTCCTTCAAGAACATGAGACTCTCCGCCGACCCAAACTGAAGAGCACTCGAGGGTGCCCTCCCCCAGGATGCGCAAGAACATCCAACAAGCACGAACAACATTAGGGTAACCTGTCCGAACCGACCTCGATCTTGTACCTCGGTCCGACCGTGGCCGTATGGGTACGTTTTCCTCCTCTGTGAGTGCCGGGTGCGTCGCCGGCTCGCCAGGGAGCCGAATGCCCGCGCCCGCGGGGGCGGTGGCCCCGAGCCGACGCAGCGAGCGGGCCGGCGCGGCCCCCAGAGGGCCTGGGGCTGCCCTCGGAGAGGCAACGTCTTGTTTGGCTACTTCTTGCTCGTGATCTGTGGGAGTTAGCCTAAGTAAATCCGAGCAGACGGATTGGGTGGTGGCTGGGTTCTGTTACTTCCCGTCGCGACAGGTCCATTCCATTCCGTTGCCCTCGGAGAGGCAAGGAGGGCCGCTCGCGCCTGCTAGTTCCAAGGGGCCCCCACGCCTGTCCAGGGCGCGTTCACGGGCCACGTTTCCAACGCTCTATGTGCTTTATACGTGAGTGATTCTTGAGACAGGTTCCGCCCGACTCGCGCCTATTAGTGTCTAGCAAAGTCCAGTCTTGCCAGTTGGCGCCTGGAAGCGCCGGTTTGGGCCTATCAGTGTCTATCAGCGCCTGCTAGTGCCCATCAGCGAACACTAACAAGCAGTTCTGTACGCGAGCACCCG